AACCTTATCTCGGTTTCAAGTGTACAGCACAGTGGTTCAACAGTTACCCATATTATTAAATCCTCACCCCCCTCAGTGCAGGTTACTATCTACTGACATAGAAAGATGTTACAGAATCATTGACTATATTCTCCATGCTGTACTACTGTCCCTATGTACTACCCATCATAGTGGTTTTTTTGTTTGAATTCCTTGATATTCAAAATGTTCTTTATGTTTATATCATTTTCATCATCCTTTGGAGATGAATTAGAATTCAAGATGTTACCAAGCCACTTTGTGGTAAATCTATAGAAAAGGTGTCACACAAAATGCTTATAATGGTTTTGCTTTAAAAGTGAGACCTATCAATTAATGAAACTGGTGTTCTTGGGAAGCTTGTAACTTGGTTCTGAAAAGGTGTGACCCAAAAAGATACAAAATAATATTATACACCATACATTAATAGATTAGGGTGTAGCTTCTTAAAGCAACTCCTTGAAAAAGATGACACTTCATTAACTGCATTAAATTAGTACTTAAAACCAACTGTCATCATTTACAGTGATTGTCTTGCCAGTGGGTTTCAGTCCTGGGCAAGTTCCCTATGGGTTCAGTGAGACTGAGGAATGACAATGGAACATTGTTGGGGTAAAAGGCTTTATTACCTGGCTTGTTCTCCTGGTGATAGGTCGAGCACTAGAATTATGTCTGCATCCAATGGTCTGCAGGTCCGTAATCCTCCTTCGTCTCTGCCTCTGCCCAGAGCACTGGGCAGAGCTCTTTATATGGTGACTCAGTCAGTAATAGGTCATTGCCTATGGCTGTGGAAGCAGTAGCCCAGCAGCAGGTCCCTTACATCATCAAGTAGTTTGGGCTCAGATGAGGATCCCGGCTATAGGAACTTCAATTTTCCCAGTGCAATTCAAATATTTTCTAAGATATTAAAATTATTCTATTTCATATAAGCTTCTTGAGAAAAAGGATCATGATTTTCATTTCTTATTTTCCCTGGTGTAACTCAGGGCTACTCTGGAGTACTGGGTTAATACTTTACTGAATTAAATCTAAGTTAGAAGGGTATAGACAGCAAGAAAACTTTTTATTTGGTGTTTCCAGCCAGAATGCTGCTTTTTCCTGGGATTGTGCCTCAGAGGTGATGAAGAATGGAGCCAGCAGACAGGAGTAACCAGCAGAGCTCTTTGAATGAGTGAAAGAGAAAGCAAGAACTCAGGCCAGGGGAAACCACGAGGGCCGTAGTGTCTGGGTTTTATATGGACTCCTGAGCGGAGAAAGTCCTACCCCCTAATGACATCACAGCTCACTCCTGATTGGCTGAAAGTACAATGCTTCATTTGCCTAGGGCATAAGCAGTCAGAGCAGTTTAGGTCTATCTAAGTGGCTGAGCTGGACTGGGGTTTTTTGTTTTTTTTTTTTGAGACTTAGAAGAGCCCTGTCCCACTATCACCTGCCTTTGGGTGTCTGGGGCTTGCCTTTGAGGTTTTGGGGAAATACAAAGAGCAAAGAAGGCAGCAGGAGTCATCATGGAGGGTGCTGAAAGAGGCCACTTTATTCTACATCAAGCTGTACTTCTCAAACTGCTATACTGCTAATTCATGGTTACATAGGTGTTTAAGATGCACATGCCTGTGGCCTTCATGGCCAGGCATCTGGCCTTATCTCGCTCCTTTCCCATGGGAACAACATGCTGTTTTTTCAGGTTTCTGAAGCAGCAGGCAGCTGTCCTCATAGAACAGTAGGGGAAGTGGGGCAGGGGCAGGAAGGCAGGGTTCCCTACACTGCCTCATGAGGAAGTCACCCCAGGTGCTCTGCCTGTGTATTTTCCACTTGTCAGCAGTTTCTTTTGGTAGTTGGTGGCCAGCTGGATTAGAATAGCAACAGAGATTTGCCATTTCAGTGGAACAAGTGATTGTGGACAGTCATTATAATTAAGGTGGACTCAATTGTGTTCCTTTTCTCTTGGTGGCTTCTCAGCTATTGTATGACTTTCTGGCATTTTGAATTCTATTCTTTAATTAGCCATGAGAATGGTTAGGAATTCTATATTTCTTTTTGATCTAATATACTTTTATATGCAAAGGAATAAGTACAGCCTATTACAACAATACAAATTTGACCCCCGCAAAAATGGTTAAAATATAACATGAAATTCTGAGAGAATGAAGGCTAGATAATGACCTCCTCCCCTCTCTCTTTGTTCCAAAGTGCTTTTTGGATCTTTTATGAGGAATGTACGGCTTTCCACTTAAATCCAGTTGCTGCTGGTTTTGCCAATCATTCCTTTAAGCCACACCAATAAGCATGTAGAAACTCCTCTAATCCTCTGTGGGGTGGAGAGTGAGATATGTGGGAAGGTTACTTTAGCAGAAGGCTCTCTTCTCACAAATCAGAAATTCCATCGTATATATTCCTATTCCCCTAAATAACTGGCAAGGGGATCATCAGGATGAGCTACTGCAAAGAGCCACCTTCGTCTTCACAGTTGCAGTGTGATGGGTTCCCAGACCAGAATTGCAAAGTAGGTGAGAGAATCTTTGAATATAAAACATGGTAAAGAAAACCAAAGAAGATTTAATCTCACTTATAGAAAGGTGGTTGGTAGGGGAGGGGACAACAGACGAGAGTGGCTCGGATCGTCATTAATCATTTTGTAAGAACCAACAAAGTGAAAACATCCTTCTGGAATTCACTGCAAGTGACACTGAATCCCTCTACTAAGCAAATACGTGATGAGTTGATAAAAAAAAAAAAAGGAGAAGGTCCTGAACTCTTGACTACAGATACAACACAGTGAATACAGAAAATCAAAAACCTGCTTTCTATCTGGCTCAAAATAAAGGTGCACTTAAACTTGTAAAAGACAACATTTTTATTTGAATGATATGACAGAACTGTCACAGGAGTGTTACCTGCTATAAAGAAAGTCTAAGAATTATTACCTTTATTAGACCAGTGACACTGAGCTTTAGCCATACATTTCTAACTTCTGTCCCTCTACAGAGACAATTTTCTTTTCTTAAATAAACTGTCATGCTAGTGTTAATATATTGTTGGCTCTCTCATGCTCCGAGAATACTGCTGATATAAAACATGTATATGTTAGATTGGTAATAGTATCTTTAGTGTAGCTGACTAGAACAAATGTGTTTCCCTCATGGCTGTGCTAATGTGATAAAGGAAAATTGGCTGTTCATCAGCTTTTGGCTGGGTAAAGACAGTAGAGATGGAACCACATTCTTTTTTATGCATTAATACCATCGAGAACTTTTCACTGGTTATATTTCATGTGCCTGCATGTTGCGCAAAGATGTTGTAAAACATGAGATAATGCTACAAATAACAAAGTAGAAAAGCCTGTATCTTTTATAATGATAACAGTCAAACACCAAATGACAGTAACAGGCTGTAAAAAATGGGATGCAAAAGAAAAAAAATGCAGCCGTACTACCCGGCAGAGAGGTGTATATCGAGGCCCATGAGGATTTGGTATGTGAATTAGGTCTTTATATTAAAGCTTTGTTGTATGATGAAGTAAAGTGAAATACTGGTCCAGTGAATTTAAGATAGAACAATGTTTAAATAAAAGCAGATTGGATAGAATGGAGAAAAGTTATACTGGATAAGTTTTTAAAGAATTAATATTACCAGGTAATTATGATTTGAAACACCTTTGTGAAAGGGGCTTCTTAAGGCAATCATTCAAAAACTATTTAAACGCGTCAAAGAATGGTTGTTTATTTCATCAATTATTTATTTACAAGGTTGTTTTAATAGACTAGCATTTTGAATGATACAGGTTCATCATTTTCTATTAAAATGTTAGCATGTAACTTTTCAACTGTAAGGCAGTCAATTTCTCTTTCTCTCTCCCCTCCCCTGCCAGCTGCACCCCACCCCGACCCACCCCAGAATTTCATTTGCTATTTTATCACATTTACCCATTAGAGTCCCAGTGTTTCCTTTTACATTTAAATTAGAAGTACTTGAACAGGACTATTTGGAGAGACTAAAGTTAATGCCAAATAGCTGATCAGTTTATTCAGCAACACATGCAATCATTGAAGATGTATAGATACCATCTATAAAGTAGTCTGAATAAAAGTTTGATTGAATTGCTGTTCAGGGGTCACTGCACACAAACAAAACTTTTCATAACTTTTTATGGTATGATCCAGGGGTCATCAAACTACAACCCAATGAACAAATCTGGCTGACCAGTTGTTTTTATGTTTTACTTGGCATCCATGTTTGTTCTCATTTGTTTTGTCTATGGCTGATCTTGCTTTTCAACAGCAGCGTTGAGTGCAAACTGGACTGTTTGTACCACAACATCAAATCACTTGGCTCGCCAACAAGTATTTATTCTCTGTTGTTTACAGAAAAAGTTTTTTGACCCCTGGCATTGAGAATTGTTAGGTTGCCTGATTAATTAGCCCAAAATATGATTGGCTATTTTTTTACGCTATGTGAATGGAAAGTCCAGTTGAAAATTGCCAACTGGATACCAACACCTAAGGAAGTAAGTGTTTGCAGGAAATATTATGTACTTTCAAGTTAAATTGAACTATATCTAAATGTAATATATTTTTGGGATATCTGGTTTTGAGTACTTCTCCCTTTTGTCTTCATTTCAGTTTATTTCTAAATGTGGCTATAATAAAGTTAACTCTGTCTAAAGAAACAACATGTCCTCAAAAAACTTATGAAGACATGACTTATTTAATGGTCAGAACTATTAGATATATGGGACAAACAGTTATGGGTGCCTGTGAATATCCTGGTACATATCATCACATCACAAAGCTATAATATGTAGGTTTATATTTAGATATATGAACAAACAAATATATCACTGAGCCATTAAAATAAATTGTTCTCAGTCTTTCCACCTGAAGAAAGTGGCGAAGTAGGAAATTAACTTGATAAAGACGGCTGTAATGTAGTTATTATAAAATAAAAGCTTACACAATTAAAATAATAATGGTGATAATTTCTTGCAGGTACATCAGACAAAAATCAGCTTCTTCATCAATGGTTTGGAGGAAGATCATACAGCTTTTGATGCAAGAACTCTAAGTGGTTCAATTACAGATTTTGACTCTGGTACTATGCAAATAGGACAGAGTTTAAATGGTAAGATTTCAACTTCAGAAAATTATTGATTATATCCAGTCCTATTGTTCCTAAATAATGTGTGAAAACATAATATTTTATATCACCTCGGCATATTTGTTTCCCACGGCCGCTGTAACAAATAAGCACTATCTGGGTGACAGCTGAATACAACACAAATTTATCCTTCCAGTTCTGGAATCTGGAAGTCTGAAATTGAGGACTCACAATGTTGGTTTCTTCTGGATTCTCTGAGAGAGAATCTGTTCCATGCCACTCTGATGGCTTCTGACAATTGGTAGGTTTCTTTGACTTAAAGCTGCAAACTCTTTGTCTCCATTTTCCTTTGGCCTTTCCTGTGTCTTCTCCTTTCCTGTAAGGACATTTGTGGTTAGCTTTAGGGCCACCCTAATCCAGTATGCTCTCATCTCCAGATTCTTAATTCCATCTGCAAAGACCCATTTTCGAAATAAAATCACAGTTCCAGGTTCCAGGATGTATCATTTGGAGGCCACTATTCAACCTACTTACCAGGGAACCTTTAAATTAGGGTGTCTGTATTATAAACAGTTTTTAAAGGGAGAACAATATATAATAAATTATATATTCTTTTTTTTTCTGGCTTGGATTTTACTGTAGGGCTATTGATCAAGTAGGACTTACAGTATTAGATAGAAACTTAGAAATAATATTCAACTTATAATAAGATGGATTTATGATGTTCATATATTCCCACCCTAAGAGTGGCCATATAAGTTTAAGAAGAAAATATACACTCTATCCTGGAAAGAACGGAAGTTGAATCTAGAATTATCTTGAAAGATCTAGCACAATGGTCTATAAATTGCCTACACTTTAAAATGCAAATGATGTATTATCCAATAATAAATACTCATTGTGAGAAAACTCAAACAATACAAGACTCTGTGAAATAGTATTTTCCATTTTTCTGCCTTCACAGATAGATATTTAACTTTGTTATATGACTCCAGAATTTGGGTACATATAGCTAGAGATAAGGTTATAGATAATTTTCTAAGAATGAAATTATACTATATGTACTTTCTCTGAGCTTTCTAAAAATAACTACTCTCCCTCCAAATGTTATGGCAACATTTTGTGTTAATATGCCTTCTCATTTAAAATGGCTGCATTGTGCACAATTGTATAGTTGTAAGTGTAACTTTTAAAACAGCTTCTATTAATGGACATTTAAGTTATTTCTAGTATTTCAGTATTATTGGCAATTGTTTGATAAAAAATACTGTGTATATCTACATTTCTATATCCTTATCTATATCTTTATAGTATGCACATACACATATACACATACATACATATATATGCATTTAAACAACTGTCTCATGCAATTCCTTTAAGAATTTATACTTTGTTGCCAGTCTGAGTTCAAATCTCATCTCCCCACTTATTAGTCATATGACCTATAAAAACTTCTTAAGGTCTCTGAACTATAGTTACCCCAAATTTAAGATGATGAAGATGATGATGACATTATAGTTTCATTCTGAGGATCAAATGAAGTTATGTCATGAAAAGAATTACTGTTTTTCTAGCATCTGGTACATACTAGTTGCTCAATTTAATAACTGCCTTGTATATACTAAACCATATTGATATGTAATACTATTATTAATATTGCTGTAATTTTTTCTCTAACACAAACCTGTAAAAGTTGAATAACTAGATTAAAGTGTGTCATCATTTTGTATTTTAATACATATTAGAAATATTACCCTAGTGCATAACAACTCTCTCCAGAAAAGTTATGAAAATTTACAGTCTTATTTAAAAATATAGGCAAATACTTGCTTCCTTAAACACTAGCTGAACAAATTATCCTTTTTTTACTTAGTCATTCCTCTCATTGAAAAATATTATTACATGCTGCCTGAGAATTATTTGTTCATTAGTGAGTTTGAGTAGCTTTCTAAATATGTCTTAATCATTTGCATTTTACCTGTGAATTCCTTGTTCATGTGGTATATTTATATTTATATTCTGGACTTTCTTATTTATTTGTAAAAGCTCTTTAATGTTAAGAATATTAGTTGCACATGTTTTCTCCAGTTTTTAGGTAGCCTTATAAGGGCCTTATAGAAATTTTAGAATATTATTTTAAATTTTAATAAAAGCAAAACATGCACATAACATAATGGAACAATATTAAAGGTACATCTTGATGAGTTTTTAAATTCCATATATACCTGTGTAACTGTCATCCTGAAAAAGCTATAGAACATTTCCTGTACCTCAGTGCCTCTCAGTGAACACCAGTTCTACTGATAAATGCAGAGTCCTGTGAGTGTAGACTTCACTCTCCAGAGATTAGCGTTGCCTGTTCTTGAACTCTCACGCAAATTAAATCACTCAGCAGGTACTCTTTTGTGTTTGATGCCTTTTGCTCAGCACTATGCCCCTGAGGTTTACCTGTATTATGTGTTGCTCTTTCCTGTAGCTTTAGGAAATATTTCTTTAGCTTTGGGAAATACTTCTTTACTTTCCCTAAAGTGTGTGTTCCAGCAAGCAATGTTTAAGAATTTCATTTATTCCATATCCTTACCAACACTTAGTATTATGTGTTTTGTTGTGTGCCATTTTGGTGGGCGTGTGGTGCATTCCCTAAAGATTGATGATATTGAGAACTTTTTCCTGTGCTTATTGGTCAGATGGATATGCTCTTCAGTGAAGAACCTATTTAAGTTTTTGTCAGTTTTTGAAATGGATAGATTGTCTTTACTGATTTATAGGAGCTCTTCAATATTTTGAATATGAAGGATTTCACAGATATATGGATTGCAAATATCATCCAGGTTATGGCTTGTACTGCCATTCTCTTAATGGTGTTGTTGGATTAACAGAAATTTTTAATTGTAATGAAGTGCCATTTACTACTCATTTTTCTTCCATATTTAATACTTCTAATGTCCTGTTTTGTCTATCTTTGCAAACCCTGGTTCCATGAAATATTCTTGTACAGTGTTTTCTAGATGTGTTATTATTTTTACCTCTTAAATTTAGGTCTATGTTATATCTGAAATTGATTTTTGGATATGGTACAATGTAGAGGGAAAGATTCATTTTTTTCCCACTTGAATATCTAATTGCCCTATTTTTTAAAAAACTATTAATCATCTCTACTATTTTCCTGTGGTAACTTGGTCACAAATCATATATCCACAAATGTGAAGATGGATTTATTCCTGAGCTATCTGTTTTGTTCCAATAATCTGCCCATACTTGAGTCCAAACACTGAGCTTTCATTATTGTAACTTATAAAAATCTTAATATCTGGAAGTCTTTAATTTCTCCAAGTTTGTTCACATTTTCATGGTAGTCTTGGCTATTATATAAGTTTTAGTAGCTGTTTTCAATTTTCACAAACATTCTTGTGGCATTTAAATCATTAAATCAATTTCGGAAAATTGGACATCTCTGTAATACAAAGTTTTTCAATTCTTGATCATGATGTGTCCTTAATTTCTACCAATAATGTTTTTAGTTTCTATATAGAGTTCATTCATATTTGTAAGAACCAACTATGTATTTGTTGGTTCTTTTTTTGTGCAATTATACTTAGTGTTGCTGGGCAGCTGCATCTGGGAAGGTCTCTCTCCCTGTGCACCAGGTGAAACCTCTACCAGGGCAGGGGAGTGTTCTTCACTCTGAATGAGAAAGAATTCTCGTGTGGGTCTGATGAGTGTAGGTAAGGAAGGAATTCATTAAAGCAAGAGCAGCAGGGAATGGCCGCTGCCTGCAGAGACCAAGAAGGTGCAGGGGGAAAGAGGGAAAGTTCTTGGCCAAGGGCAGATTCCCTTGCCAACTCTTAAAACCTGGTCCATCTGGTGTCCTGAGTTCTCTTGGATCTGCACAGCATGGGGACTAGCCTTTACCACCCCAAGTTTTGGGGGAATCATGGAGCATAGGATGGAGTGGGATTATGTTCTGCGAACTTCCCAAAGGAAGGAGATTTTCAAGCAGGCTCCTGCATTTGCAGTTCCATCTGCGTCACCCAGGAGACAGGAACTTGCAGGCCCAAATCTGAGCTCTCAGGAGCCCCTCCCTGCTTATCACAGGTAAAATGGAGACTGAGTGAGAACTTGGGAGTAGAATGAAATAGCAAAGAGACAAAATGCAATAATCTGAGTAGGGAGAAAGCTTTATTTAAAAGTATGCACTTAAAGAAAGGAAAGTGCGGGTGTCCTTAGAAAGAAGGCACACCCAAGGGCTTAAGATTCTTTCTTTTAAGGTTTTCCAGGAATGGGGCAAAGGGCAGAGGGGGTGGTTGTTGGACATTGGCTTTACCTGTGGTCTCAGGGTGTTTATCTCTGGTGAGAGACACCTTGTCTCCTCTCCTCTATTATCAGCCCTCCAGCTAATTCTGCCAAATAAACTTAACACAAAGAATTTATTGATGCTGTTCTTCTCCAAGATAGTGGTTACCCTCAAGTAGTGGGGACAGATCATTTAGGCCTGCTTGCCTTGTCCTTAAGGTAGGCTGTTGGCTGATTACTAGAGAATATGTTAGGAATCTTTGCTTTTAGAATTGAAACTTGGCCTTAAGGTGGAGTCCCTCTTATTTTTACTATGTTATTTATGTCTCAGCATTTTTAGGAAAATTAATCATGATGCTTGTCTCCTGTCTCTGCCCTCTATCATTAGTATTTTTTGTGAACTTCATTTTCTAATTTTGTTTCTATTATACAAAAATATGATGACCTTGCTAAATTTTAATTCTGTTAGTTATACAATCCTGGCATTTATACACTGTACATTCAAATCTTTCAATGTTTGCATTTAATGCATAAATGGTCATGGCTTTGGAGTTGTCACATAGATATTTGCAGGTGTTATTATTATTTGAAATAATGCAGAATTTCAGTTTGTTTCCCTTATGACCTAAATTTCTAGCTTGAAGAAAGAAGGCATATATTTTTAATATTCAAAATACATTCTAATGTACTGTGGTTAAATTTCCAAGCTCTGGTGTTAAACAAACCTA